TGTTCTTTAATTGTGTCTATAATGACGGTACTCAAAGGGTTAAAGTCAAAGTTTCCCTATCTTGCAAAAACTAGTAAGCGTAAATTCCTAATCTTAAATACATCGTCAAAGCCCACCAATAATATGTGATACGATGTAGATAGTTTGAACTGCGAGAGAACGATGAGCTAATTTGGAATTCCCTTATTTCGTATAACGTTATTTTAGACACAGGAAACTCGGTCACCATTATGATAATTAATATTATAATTGTTGTTATAGATATTGGCACAATTCGTGTTTGGTTTATTTCCATTCAATTTTGCGTAATCATTAACATCGCGTTGTATTTATTCGAAGTTTCGTTCATCTGTTTTTCGACAGACTCCTTTATGAAAACTGTTAATTCATCTTCATCCATAGCCTATAAGCTGCCACTGCTGACCTAAGGCATTTCTCTCACGGAGAAGAATTTCTTATTAAATACACATAATATATTATACTTTACTTAAGCCAATTAAGTAATCGGAATCGCCTTATTCACCAGTCGCATTCAACTTAACAGTTGCCACTATCATTCATCTATGTAATTACAATTAATCTAAATTTAAATCATAACTAACAAACAAACATAATCTTAAACCCACGCACCATGACGTATACACACTTTATGACGTCACAATACAGTATTCAACCTGTTTTACGTCACATCTGAACTTAATTACGTTCGCACAAAGCGAGTGTCGCAATCGTGAGCTAAACGTGTTGTGAATGACTGTACTTGTCATTCGCGTTTTACTACATACTGTATAATGTATGTGTAGGTGTTATAATTGTAGCAATGTGCGTTTTCTTTAGGGGTGTCTAATGTTTAAGTTATGCTTGGGTCTGTGTTAAAATCTGGTGTAATGACTCTATAGAAATACATATGTAGAAAACTATAGAATTACTAGCCCACAACCTCGTACGCGCAATCCCGTTTTCAAACGTTCAAGTAGGGTTCTCAGGATTTTTTTTTTGGTTAGAAACCTTCTCTTAATAAGAACAGATACGACAAAAAAAGAATTAGTGAAATCCGTCCAGCCATTCACGCGTGATGCCGTGACCAAGGGAAAAAGGGATTCATTTTTATGTAATATAGTTATACTCCGTCTGTTTAGGTAGTTAACTATTTGTAAACAAACCATAAAAAGAGTTCTTTATAGTTGACATTTCCATGATTCAAAATACTTCATAAGAAAATAAAATTGTTTCCCTTTTTACGACAGTTTTCTCTATTAAATGTTATGTTTCTGTTCCTTTTCACTTATTTCTTAGTTAATATTATATATATCTGCTTGAGGATATTAATTTAATAACATTTATTAAATAGTATAACATTTCATTACAATAGACACCATAAAGAGCCTAAAATCCCAGCTATCCAAAACTTTTCTTTAAGAACGAAGCAAAAATTTCAAATTAAAGATACAACTAAGATTAGCGCGACAAACGAAAGTAGCGTGTATTACTTTATCGTTAATCAGCGCCATTGACAGCTCTCTCTCGTTTGCCTCGCGTTCCTATTTTGTTGAATTTATCTTGTTTCTTTGTTTGTTTTTGTTATTAAGTTATTCAAGTTTAGGTTATTCATCGTTTGTAATTAATGTGTTCAAATATATTGAAGAAACTTGGCCCAAAGACACATATCCGTACAAAAAAGAAATCCGTACATCAGATTCAGAATAGTTTCTATTTAAACATGATAATGAAATAGACCCATAGGCAAGGCTCTTGTACGATTTAGGCATTTATAGTTGTATATGTGTGTATGACAAATGAACGAGTTTAAAGTGAATTTAGTTAAAATTAAAACACGAGAAATATTTGAAGTAATAGTAGGTTAAGTATCTCTGTGTCACGTGGTTTTCTTTGTTTACCTTTAGTTAATTATCTAAACAGATGGACTATAGATATTCATAAATGTGATGTTCTACCTTACTCCAAACTATGAGTAAAGAATATTAGATAATTATTTTAGCGAATACCTTGTGATAAATTGTAAGTCACGAAGGGCAGCACAACTGACACGTGATAAATTTTATAATACAAAAGTTGTCTCTAAATATCAGAAATAAGGGCTACAATGAAGTGAGTAGAGAGCGGTTACCAGTGACCACTTGGGGATAGATCAATAAATGACCAACTAAAACTTACCAAACTCGATTTAAGCATTCCCCTATACAGCAGTAACAATGTTTTCAGGCAACTCAACGAGACATAAAAAAAAACATATCATTTTGTGGACACCAAAATTAATGGACGCGCCAACCCTAATCAAAGGAACTCTGAATGACACTTACTTAGTAGTTCGCGGCTCCCTAGGGTTGTCAATAACACTTTTATTACGCTTTTGTATGTTTAGAAGGAAAGTCAAAGGTAATGGTGCGATGGGGTAGAGTTACCCTTTAAGTGGGTAGGCAGACACGGGGTCGCACGAGGCTAGGTTTAGAATTACAGATAGGAATATTTTTATGAAGTAGACTTTTTTATTAGTACTATCATTAATTTTAGTAACCAGTTATTATTAGTTTGTGAAAATTGTGAGGTGGTCATTTTAGCTTTAACAAGGTCCTGAAGAGCTAACCGAAAGAGGTATATAAGAATCGTAGCAATTAGCGTTCTATAGTCATTGCCTACTCCATAGGAGATAGGCGTGACGTTATATTTTATTTACAAAACAGATAATGTATTCTACATATGATTAAATTAAAGTAACATTTCACCGAAGTATAAATTAAATAGATGAACGAACAGCTACAAAAATAGCAAAAGCAAATCTGCTATTAGGAATTTTGCTTATAAAAACCACGATGCTATTCCAAGATGGACACAAATTTCCAAAAATTCATTATCAAACAGAACTACAAAGACTTTCAGCTATCAATATCATCGAAACAAATCAAAGAATAAGTTTCCAACAATCAGAAACCAGATCTAATCGTCCCTAATGGTCATATTTTTAGACTAGCATGCGTGGGTGCGTTTTTTTCTATTTTTCCAGGAAACGCGTGCTTATTGCTTTAGTAATAAAGGTCATAGTGATAAAACCTAGACTAAATGGTTCAGTCTAGCAATAAATATAGGTTCGAATGTCTGATCTGACGGGGCTAATACCATTTGTTATTTAGATAACGATAGCGTTCGAATTCTGTATCATAGTTTGTGTGTAATGCGGACAAATCGTAGAGGTCAGGTAACATAGGTTGGTTTGTATTGATATTGAGGCATTCTGTTACATTTTGGTTAGGTTAGGTTAGGTGACTGCCTCGTTGGTCGAGTATTCTTAAGTACAATAGGTTTAACAAAAAAATCTCAGTAGTATCACGGAGTCTAGAATTTTTATTGTGCCCGTTAATGGCAATAGGCTCACCCCCTATTACATGGGACTCAAAAACATAAATAGCAAAAAGTGGGTGTTACATTGTAAGTGGTATCTCCTCCTACTTATTGAGATTTTATTCTTTCTGAAAATGAAACCTAGTTAAATACATTTATCGCCCCCGAAACCCCTTAGACACAAAATTTTTGTTTTTGATACCGTAATGCAGTAAGACCTATTCTATACAAGAAATGCTCGATTACCTAAAAGTGCGTATATAATTTTATCCTTTAAAAAGCCATTACCACCACGATTTTATGTTCCGTATGTTTGTTTTGATAGGTAGTAAAAATATAAGAACGTTTTCAACACATTTCGGAATAACCACGATACTTTACGTACTTAGAAATATTTCATTTATATTTCCATTCTCCTTTCAAACTAAATTCCAAGTCCGAACAAACTTTCTATTTAGTCACACAAAGTACTTAAGAATTTTGTGCTTATAGCAAAGATTTTCTCGAGAAAATTGTTGCTAAAGCCTTGAATTTTACCTTAAAATTAAAAAGAGAATCGCGGAAAGGTTCGGCTTGTAACAAACTTTAGGAACTCAACAGAAAGAACTCATTGCTAAGTATGTTGCTCTAAGTAGGTCTTTGTCTAATTAAAAAGTATTTTTATCATACATTTTGGTTGCTAAGGTCCTCAGAAAAAATGATTTTTTTTATATGCGTTATGTATGACAGAAGAAACACATGTTATTTATTTTTATAAGAAAAATGGATTATCGCTATTTTCATGACCAACTAAAGACATGGAGTATAATTTGAAATTTCATTCCAGATCATAAATTGAAACATCCAGATCTACGTAATAGACGTTCCACAGAAAAAAAAACATTATTTTATAGACCTTTCTTCCTTTTAAAAGTGTTGACCAATCAATTGTATAAACACTCTCCATCAGATATTAAAAACAAATAAACCACAAAAAGTACAATCAACAAGAAAAATACTCTAAAATAAAACCGAAAAATAAATGTCCACAGAAAATATACGTACTAAGAGTAAAACGTTCCCGTCCCTTCTGTTACCTTCACAACCGCATTTAGAGCGTATGAATATTTATGTTGTCAACTGTACTCAACCGTACATACCGATACTTTAACCCTCTATACATTTATGCAAACCTTATGGCTTCATTTAAATAAATTTCTTTTAGCGAACCACTTTCAGTAATAGCTCAACCTTTTTTGCGGAATATTCAAAATTATTATGTTTATTTTTTTGAGGTATTCGGTCGAAAGGAAAGGGGTTATTTGTGGGCTGTTGTTGTATTTTCATTTATTGTTGGATCGATTTACTTATATGTAACATAGTTTAATGTCTCTTTTGGCCTGAGGCTATCGATAAAACTTGATGATACCACTATTGTATAATAACATGCACATACGACAAAGTCAATTGATTCAGTAGTCGGTGCAATTTCCACAGAAGTTCTTTTTTTGAATTGTCTTATATTTATCGAATAAAAATTGTATGAATTAGCACCTGTAAGATTGTGTGTCTTTACTCTTACATTTATTTGTTTTATAACCTTTTGTATATATTTTTACTTTGTTTAAACGATGATACTAATTGATTGTGTATGTTTGTTACAGGACACACGAACGCATGTGGTGGTGGAATTGTATGAGACTGAGAAGTCGTACGTGGAGGCATTGGAGATATTAGTCAAGGTAAGATAATGAAGAAGCTATATTAAGCTATGCTTTACGTTTTTAAGGGGGAAAATCATCCAATGGCTTCTCCTTCTCACTTTATCCGGACAGGAAAAGTTATTGGATTCTCCCATTAGAAAAAAGGACCATGATTGAGCTACCCAAATCCATCTTTAAACTTAAATACGGGTAGCAGATTTATCGTTTTGTTTTTGTGTCTAGTTTTCTGTGCAGTGTTAGACACTGCAACACACAACACAGAGACATAACTCGACAAAGATTAGAATCCTCGTCAAGTTCTAAACTCAATCTCAATCAACAGTTCAATAGGTAAATGTCGTCAAATATGAAATTCAATAACTTAATCAAGAACGCAACACAAGTGCACCCATTAAAGCTGAAAATCAGAGAACATTCCAGAATCGTCGATACAAAATATTTTCCGACCACTTGTAATATGTCCAAGACATTCGTAACAAGTTCACAACTACAATCAAAGAGTATTGTGTCATATTTCCTTGGATTTCTCCTTTCAAAGATGTTTCAAACTTTATATTGAAGCTTGGACTTCCATATTCTTACTTTATCTAGGTCAAGCCAGGATAAAGTGTTTTTAAAGGAGAGAAAATGTCTCTTTTAGTACATAATTCCGTTTAGGACTTAAACCGATTCTCACGTTTTGTTGGACATTGGATAATAAATTCTGTTTTGTTAGTGTTATAGTTGCAAGTAGAGTGGCGTTGGGAAGTATTTTAGGTCGTAAAATTTTTATTTATGAAAATTTGCTCAAAATACTAACTTAGTATCTTAACTGAGACATTGATTTTGTCATGACTTATCTGTCTTAATTGGACTACCAATAGCAGATTAAAGCACCCGACACTGGCAGTATAGTCGACAACATCGTATTGGAGACTCGGTGAGCCAAAGAAGAAAAAAAAAGCAGTGATTAAAAGTGTTATTAGATAGGGTAAAGTTTTACAGAAAGCCTATACACAAAGTTCATAACTATCAGATTTAATAACATAACATAAAAAACATCATGACAATAATGACGTCACAGAAATTAAAAAGAAACTCATTCTCAAACTCATCTTTTCTATAATATAAAACTTGTGTCTACAGGAAAAATTTCAATCCCGTTCCCAAAGACATCCTAATTCCTAACACATTTTATTTAAGTAACATAATGTTAGCCGCCCGCTGTAGCTTCAGTGACATATTTTGTCAGTAACTCCTTGCTTAAGGGACTAACGTGACAGCTGACGTCTATGTTATCCTTGAACGGTGACATGAGACTGTTGGTGGCTTGGAAACAAAGAAAATCTGTGGAAATATTATTAGAGAATGGAATATTATTTTGTCACCCATCTGTAATAATAATGTAGCAAGTTTTAGCTAAGTAGGTTTATGATGATATATGATAAGTATATTGCACATTCAGACGTTAATAATTCATTAACGGTTTTCTTAAATTCTTGGTGGACTGGCTCGTTGGCCGAGTGGTCGCAAGTGCGACTGCCGGGCAAGGGGTCGCGGGTTCGATTCCCGGATCGAGCAAAGTATTACTGTTTTTTTTTCAAAAAGCTCTGTAGTAGCATGGAGCCTGTAATTGTGTCCGGTATATGGCTATAGACTCACGCCACATTACATGGGACTCATAACATAAATAGTGAAAAGTGGGTGTATCATGGTTCAGTGGCACTAAGTGCCATAATACCTATACACCTCTGCCTATCACTTCGGGGATAAAAGGCGTGATGTTATGTATGATGAAATTCTTGGTAGCATTGAGTTTACAATTACCTTCTGTAAGGTAAGGAACTCGAAACAGAACTGGTAAAAATGCGCGTTATACATATACCTATCTACAAATTGTCTGGACGTCTGCCTATCCAATGACGACTTTTATCTAAGATTCACATAACATCATTCACACTAAGAAATCCTTTGATTTGCCACCTTTAACACTAAAGTTACCATACAAAATTAATTATAACTCGTAAAATTAATATTAAACTGAATACCTCGGCGTCTTAATCCGGCCGAAATGAACTGATGAATGACAAATTTGTGATATTTATGAACCTGACGAAATTCCAGGGCTATCATCGTTGACTTCTCTGATCAATCTTGAATGTCTTTCTTTGGTCCTCTTTGGTCCTCTTTGTCTGCAACTAATGAGCTGTCGAGCGGTCGTTAAATTTGAGAATTTTTGCGTCCCTACTTAACAAGGGCTTGGTGATCGTAATGTCAATGTCGGAATCATTTTTCGTGGTAGAATTTTTGCCAGGTGCTTTTAACTGGAGATTTTGAAAATATTGCTGTCAGTATAGTATTATATTTCTTTGTTTGGTATTTGTGGACTTTCTTGTAATTAGTATAACACTATTTTAATTTGCTTTTATTTCTCACGATTTGATGCAACTTGATTTTTGGATTTTTGTGAATTGAATTCGTTTTAGGATATATATATAAACGTATATATACTGTAATATATACTGATTTGATACCTAAAACTTACATTTTTGAGATTATTTTAGAAAACGAAGGAGTTTATTTGTGATATTAAATGTCTGTATATGGCAATAAAGTTCCTTATACAACATAAACTCACCTCTACGCGACCACATTTGCTATTCATTAAAAGGTAGCTATAGCTATAGCTTCTCATAATTAAAAGTATAATCAAGTACTATTATATATATAATAATTAATATCTTTCCATCATCATAATCCATGTTAAACGAACTTAATACTAGGGCTACAAAAAATATAAAAACCTTGATACTTTTTCGTCCAATGGATTAAAATGGCAACACGAAATTGACCAACCCTATATCTACAGTGGTTTTCCTACTCAAATTTTCCGCTCTACCTTTCCATCATATGGGTCGGGCTATTTATTGTCACCGGTACCCCCCTCGCGTCATCCCCCCTCTCTGTGACAGTGTATAAAGGAGACAGAAGGTCAAAATGTCATGTTCTTGTGAATTTTTCATGTGACTTTTTTGGCAATACGTTTTGTAGATTAATACAAAGAGTACAGAATGCCTGCGCACGATTTTGCTACAGTGTTCCACCAAGGAGTCATGTAACACCATTTTTGAATAAACATAACGCATTAAAAATGAAATCACGCCGGAAACTCCACCTCGCCTGTCTAATGTTCGACGTGATAAAACACAAGTGTCCTCCATACCTGTACTCTAGGTTTGAATGGGTTAACAGTCACCGGGAGCGTGAGGGTAGGCGGTGTGCTCAGCAGCTCGCTATTCCTCGGCATAGAACTGCAGCTTTTCGAGGCAGCTTCCGTTATGCGGCTTCCAAGTGCTGGAATAATATTCCACCACCAATTAGAAATCTGAAAAATAAAAACACGTTTAGGTTAAAATTAAAAACTTTTATTTGGACATCCCAAATTAAATTTAACGACATTAATATTGACAATTCCTTTATCTAATTTCAGTTTATTGTTCCAATTTATTCAAATTACACTTACTTTTATATGCCAACTTGGAAGTCCTTGCGTGTTGGTTGGGTGCTCAACGTGTGAGCATTGTTTTAATGTACCTCGCCATTATTTTAATTCTCGTAATTAAGTTGAGTGTTTTAATTGTGATCATTTCGCCACTCGTAAACTATGCTGGAGTTTGGTGTCCTGTGGCCGGCGGCTGTTTCTTTGTGGGTACGCGTCGGAATGAATCAGAGCTCAGCAGAGTTGTCACTAAAACTGTCTTTGTTTGACAATCAAAAATGTGAAATAACCCCCAATTAATTAAAAAAAAAGAGTAAACGTCAAAAGTGACTAACTCTTATAATAATTGCATTTTTACATTTTGTTTGTATGTATATACATGTACTATCGGATATATATATTATTCTATTCTCAATTTTTACACACACACACACACACACACACACACACATATTCAGCTAAATTTATATTATTTATACAATTTCATGTTTATTTTCTGTCTTCATTGAGGGGCGGCACCGCCGTCCGTGAGTCACTGCAGGGTGCCACCTGAAAACCAGCGTTGGGCACAAACGTCCAACTATATGCTGAGGTGGAGGCCCTTTTGGCATTAGCACGCGCAAATTAAAATTAATATTATTATTTTGTTTATTAGATTTTTTTTTTATTGTCTATTCAAAATTCTGTTATTATCGTATTATTATTTTGTTATATTGTGATGTTTTGATATATTGTCTGTTCTGATCTCTTTTCTTGTAAGTTTATTATTAGTATTTTGTTTATATATATGTATTTTTATTTTTTTTTATATTCTTTGTTTTCTGTGCGTGTAATTGCCAAATAAATGACTTTTCTTTCTACTTTCTTTCTTTCTAGATATTAAGTGTACCTTTTTTTTGAGTGGGGAAAATCATCTAGTGTCTTCTCCCGCCCAAGCGAGGCGAGAGGGAGTGTCAGACTCTTACTGACTAAAAACCACTCCTGCACTTCAATCCGAAGCCCCGGCAACCCGTTAAGTCTTTCGCAGCTCCGTATCGGCATCAGCCCTATTGGGCCCCATCTGAAGTTTATCGTACCTACCTGCATAAATAGTTGGACATAGCTTGATTTAGTGAGCCATTATTGTTTAAATAGCTTGCTTTCTTGGCGCATATTCTTAATTTCTAAACGCCAATTTGTTCCAGTTTAGAAATTATTTACGAGTATAGGTATCATAGGAATATAAGCAGTAAATTTATCTTTATAACCGATTTCAAACAAAGTAAGTTTAAGTTTAACAAAAGTTTAAGTTTAACCTGTATCTGTATTTGTGCTCGATTATTTCGCGATTAGCTGACCCGATTATGATGTCATTTTCAAAAAAGTATTTGTTATAAGGGTTTAGTAGTATATTATATTAATTATTTGACTTAAAATAGAGGTATTGGAAATCGGTTTTATTTAAAAGTAGTTTAAAAATAAATTGATTCTAAAATGCTTGCCTTGACTGCCTCGTTGGCCGAGTGGTCATAAGTGTGACTGCCAGGGGTAGTTTAACTGTAAGGGGTCTCGGGTTCAATTTACGAGTCGAGCAAAGTACTACTGAGTTTTTTAAAAAGTCTCAGTAGTAGCCCAGAGCCTGAAACTGTGTCCAGTATATAGCAATAAGTTCACCCCCTATTACATGTGACTCATAAAATAAATAGAGAAAAGTCAGTGTTACATTGTACAGTGCATTAAGTGCCATAATAATACGCACCTCTGACTACCCCTTCGAAGATAAAAGGCGAGATATTATGTCCGAAATGCCTGTTAAATAAAACCACCAAAATCCAACATTAAGCTCTAAGTCAAAACATAAAATATCGCATGTCATTTTAAGTGGTCCTTTTGTTCTTCCTCTTCTAACGTCTCAACCTTGTGAGTATAAAGGACAGTTTTAACAGAGGGTCATAGAAATGTGTCGGGTACGTACTTTTAATTATTTTCTAGACCAGTTTCATGTCTGCTACTGACATTTGAACCAACGTTTGTTCCAATGTTTGGTAGATTCTCTTTTGTTTGCGGTTTATCTTGTAAGATGCTTGTCAGGAATGGAATTTTGTTTTTACTTATGAATTATGGCTCTTTTACAATTTTGTGGTAATCTCCATTTTTGACTTGTGAAAAGTTCAACTTTAGGAAATGAAAAATAATAATTTTTAAAATAATCATCATGGCAATATAATAAACACAAATCATACCAATATCTGTCTACATTATCTTAACGTAACGTTACCTGAAAGACAAAAGATAACATTACATTATAATTATAATGAAATATAATTATTTCATAACCTACGTTTAAAAAAAACAATTTCAACCCGTCTTTTTTTTTGAAGTCGGTTAATTTATACACTAAAACCTTCTCCTAAGTGTAAAAACACTTTTCTGAATGCCGCATAAATCAGTTGAGCCAATAGCAAGATAATCGCTGAAGCTAATTCAAACTGTGAATCTCCATTTTTGAAGTCGCTTAATAAAACTGATTTTAATTTTGCAAGTAGTACTACTTTCTTCGTTTCTACTTAAGTTGTATTCCAATCATACTTTCTTACAAATACTATAATCACATTTTTGTCTTCCTACTAGACAAACTACCGAATTACCCACAATCCCTTGCAGTAACTCATATTTATTCCCCTCACCTTTATCTAATCCAAATTTCCCTCATTACCCAACTCAGCCACAACTTCACATTCACGTAACGAGATTTCCTCAAAGATTTCGCTTTGCGCTTCATAAGCAAATTCAGCGTCTTCAAATAAATTTCCATCTCCACCATTAAGAACTTCTGTTGCCATATCTTTGTACGTTTCTCTCTCTTAGGAACACCTTCCTTCACTTTGATTAGGGTTACCAAACTGTCAAAGTTCAACGGCAAACATCAAAGTAATTCCACGTTCACTCCAAAACTTCCCGAGTAAGGATGATAAGAATTTTTGCCTATATTTTTATGGGCGACGGTTTCTGCGGTAGAAAAATGTTTATAGCCTTGTAGGGCATCGCCGTGGGGTTTTATTGCCGTTGTAAAATTCATAAAAAATATATAAAAAAGGTATTGTGAGTTTTACAGGCGAAAGTTGTTGATCGTTCTTGTTTTTATCTAATCGAGTCTCGTCCCAGTTGGTGATTATGGTTTCCTTATGTTTCACCGATTTCTTTTTTTTTCGGTGATGTAGCTGTCAACGAAACTTTTTGTGTGTTTTATGTTATGTTTGATATATTAACACGCTATTTTGTTTATTTCTGGTGTAAGAAGTATACATGTCATACATTTTTATAACTTGCTAACTGATTCCTCAACGTTGGTTGCGTTTTGCTAAAATAAAAATAGCCTATATTACTCCTTCCCGTTCCGTCAAATTCTGTCCAATCATTTCAGAGATTAGCCAGCCAGCCACAAACAGACAAAAATTGTAAAAAGTGTTAATTTGGTATAGGTATGTATCGTATATAGAGGTATATTCTTATTTCAATATTACAAGCAGGCACTCCAACTTTATGTATCTGTATATTTATATATAGATGTATGAAAAAATAAATTGATACTAAATACATTTGTTTAACGAACGATATTCAGAAACAAATAATATTCTCCGCACCTTTCCTACTAGAAAAATACGTATGAGTGATATTATAACAACCTTGGAGGTTTATTTTGTAAGAGTTGCCCATTATCACGCTCTTGTCGAAAGGGCTGTCCTCAAGTGTCCTCGTCAGACGGCTCCTATCCTGAGTGGGTCCTCCAATTTGTAACTGTGTATAATTGTGTAATGTCTACAGAAAAGATATTGTGTATTTTATTTAATAGTATATTCATATCTATTATTATCAGTAGGTTTTGCATATGTATCATCTTACTTCTTACTTCTTGAGACAAAAGAGTACATAAATAATGTCACGCCTTTTATCCTAGAAAGGGTAGGCAGAGGTGCACACAGAAGTAACACCCACTTTCTATGTTATGAGTTCTATGAGTTACATGATTTACATGGGACTCATAACATAAATAGTTAAAAGTGAGTTGTACATTGCACAGTGGCATTAAGTGCCGAAATGTGCTCCTCTGCCTACTCCTTCGGGGATAAAAACGCGTAGTGTTATGTAATAGGGGGTGGGCCTTGCCATATTCCGGGCACATTTCCAGAGTCCGTGCTACCACTGAGATTTTTTTTTAACACCCAGTAATACTTTGCCCGACCCGGGAATCGAACCCGAGACCCCTTACTCGGCCATCGAGGCAGACAAAAGAATACCAAAATAAAAAATAGGTTTTGTTTCTGCCATACTTTTTCTGTTTATAATTATTAATGACGTATTTTAGTCATCATTATCGGCTATAATCCAAAAATAGCAGTATCCTAACCGAAAAAGACCGCAATATTTATTTATTTACTTATTTACACTTTATTGTACACCATAGAAACATAGAGAGAAAAATCATGTCTTATGGCAGAATATATGGAGTATGTTATCTATGAAGTTTCTTGCTCGTTCTTCTCCATAAGAATCTACACCTGACTTCACTTTTAAGTTTTTATTGTAGACGTTCAAAAGTGCCTTCCTGGTCTAATTGAAATAAATGATTTTGACTTAGAATGCGATTTCTTACAGACAATCTTTGGATGGAGCCAGTAATGAGGAGTTGGAAAAAAACATAAGATATAAGTTAGCAAAAGAAGCTCCCATTTATAATGATTAGATCAGTACTTTGAGCACCCGCATTTGTTCCCATCACGAACAAATCCATCTCAACATTGATAAAGATGAGTAAATACGGCTTGTAACAGAAATACATCCTTTTGACGATAGGGTATAGTTGCCAGGGTATGAATGTTAAAAATCTAATTAGTCCGTCAGTTAGATAATGAAAACATATTGGACACGTATTTTTTTTCTCCTATAAAATTTAAATAGAATGGAGTTTAGTTTAGGAGTGAGAGGTCGTTACGTCACAAAGTGCTACAACTTGCAGCACGTTGTGACGTCACATGATATTTCAAATAAATATATTGTTGAAAGTATTTAATTTTGTGATAATTGAAAAACGTATCTAATGTCTTAAATTAATCTACCAGACGAACATTAATATAAAATTTAGGAAACTCTATTATGGAAACCCTGTGTGTGTAAGGCATCCAGGGTATTTATAAAGTTACTGAAAATTTAATTAACCAAGTGGGTAGTCAAAACTTAGATATCGTGCCATCTATGACATTTTACAAAGAATTCAGTGACAAAACTAAATTCAAGCACGACTTAAAATTTTCCGTATTCGAGCGTAAACCTTTAATTTTCGGATCGATCGACATTTAAACTACAATGTGTACCTACCTAAGTCGCGTCATTAACAAAATCATCTCTTTTTTCAACAGAAATATCTCCAACCTCTAAAAAGTCCGGAGAACGCTGGTCTTCTCGACGCATTCCTAGTGGACGAGATCTTCTACCAAGTGCCGGGGATCCTGAACGTGCACCAGGTCTTTTTGGAACAGCTGAGGCGGAGACTTGAACAATGGGATCTGCAGCAGAAAGTCGGAGACGTGTTCTTAGATGTGGTAAGTTCCAAAATACAGTATTGTGTGTAGAACTAGCGACCCGCCCCGGCTCCGCACGGGTGCAATATGCATGTATTATACATATAAACCTTCCTTAAGAATCACTCATCTATTATAGAAAAGCGCATCAAAATTTGTTGCGTAGTTTTAAAGATCTAAGCATACATAGGGACAGACAAACGGCGGATAGCGACTTTGTTTTATACTATGTAGTGATCTAGATAATTCAGAAATTCACGTATTTAGGTAATATAATAAATACTTAAAAGGACTAGCTAGAAAGAGTATTTTACCTTTACCTTATGAAAGCTACGATAAAAGTTGGTTAAGTCTGAATTAATGGTCGCATGAAGTTTCATAAAAAGTCTTGCAAACGACCCTAAAGATATTCTTTAACAGAATAATTTACCTTCTTCGATTTTACTTAAGTAGTGAAATATAGATAAATCAAAGACTCTTTACTGATCTATATTTAGGTTGAAACATACATCTAAATATATTACTATATGCATCACAAAACCAACTCAATAATGTATAACATTTTCCACCAATGAATTTCCAATTTATTGCGATCAAATTCTCCCAATATTTTTCATAACTACCATACGTTTTCCTGCTACATTCGCTCCGCATGAAGAATTACTTTATATGCAGCGTCAGAATCACGCTGGCGTTCAATAGTGATTGATGGAGATGGAACGGCGGCATTCAGCTGATTGTATTTACTTAAGGGAATTGAGAAATTACATTAGGCACCTCATGTAATATTAGCACGTCGTGTGAGTAAAAGGTGTCTAAAAGGTTGTTTGTAAATCACATAATTATTTACAAATAGTCTTATAGTCGTCAATATGTGATTTAAATTTTAATGGTTGTTAAAATAATTGAAGAATCTTGAAGTTCAATCTCTGGTTTTAAGAATTTTTTAAGAAAACTTTGCGCACTAAGATTTTCTCCTGTGTCGTGGGTTTATAAACATATGAGTTCACATACAGATGACACCCAGACCCGAAACCACAATTTGTGGTTCACACAAAGAGTTGCTCCGTGCGGGAATCGAACACGTGACACGTTGCGGAGCAGCCGGTTGCTCAGCCACCGCACCAACCGTGCCGTCAAAATATAATTAAACATCTTTGTCAACATTTTGTTTCACAGAGTGTATGGCATTTGTCTCTTCTTTTTGCGCCACCTGTATACATAGTAGTATTATCTACATTAGCTGTTTAAAGAGTCAGAACAAAATTCCAGACCGAAGGTCATCGCGGGCTGCCTGCTTACAGCTTTTTTATATTGGCATTATGAAATATGTCACACGACATACGATTTAGGGCCGATTTTCAATAAGCAGTTAATTCTGATCCGTAGAATAAAATTGTAATTTCAGTTCTTAGTATGGAAGAATTGTCAAGTATTCAAAGTTATACCTCAGTTAAAATTTATCTGGCTTTGGAAAAATCTACCCTAAAATCTACCCTCAAAAGATCATATTTAAATGACAAGTTAAATGCCGGGTTGGAGACGTGCTTGTTAGGTGTGCAATGACTTTAATTCTTATGAAAAAGTTGCAGATACTGTTTTATTTAATATGGATTTCAACTCATTATTAAGTACTAGCTATTCCCCGCGAGTTCGTCCGCGTATAATAATGTCTGCTGGCAAATTATGGATTGTTTAATTAGTCTTCTCCAAGGTTAATTGCAAATATGATCAGAATCAATTTAGTTATATTGATTGTAAAATGTTGTTCATCATCATCATCATCATATCAGCCACAGGACGTCCACTGCTGAACATAGGCCTCCCCTAATGACATAAAATGTTGTTCATTTTCGTAATTTCAAAAAATATACATATTGATTTTTCCCGAATAGTATCCATTCCCATGAGGTTTCAGTGATTTAAACTCTATTTGAATTCCAATTAAATAGGTATAGCGGTTGATAACTATTGAAAACTCATCCATAACTAGGTACTTCCGCGCGGTATCACACGCTCTGCTGCTGGTCGTAGCGTGATGTTTTATAGCCTATGTGTTTTATAGCCTATGCTATAAAACATCACGCTACGACCAATAGGAGCTATCGCATTTAGCGCATTTATCGAGGATGGCTATAGAGCCATCCTCGATAAATGCGCTATCCAACTCACAAAAAGAATTATTCAAATCAGACCTGTAGTTACGGAGGTTAGTGCGTTCAAATAAACAAAACAAAAAACGCTTTATATAATAGTATAAGATATAGGATTCTAACGGTAAAAGAATTTTTCAAATCGGTCCAGTAGTTTTGGAGGAGATACCATTCAAACAAACAAAAAAAAAAATCAAATGTTTCCTCTTTATACTATTAGTGTACTCAGTAGTCAGTCACATTTACATCCACCTGACGTACCTGACTTCTTATAAATTAAGGAGATAGAATTACTGAGCGGATGTGAGAATATTATGTATCACAGGCTATGTAACTAGTGCTCAACTGTAACAGAGAAAGTAATGATTGCATAGGCATTATGTATTCGTATAATAGTGTTAGAAACCTAGACTGCCTTGTTGGTGTACCGGACACAAGTATAGTAATTGAACATTCTCATGTTGATCGAGATTTAAAGCTGCTTGATAATAACGTTTTTTCCTAACTGGGGAGGGGACCGAATGTATGGTTTTTTGTGGAGCAGGAAAATTTACATAACATAACATCACGCCTTTTGTAGGTAGAGGAGCACATTACGGCACTTAATGCCACTGTACAATGTAACACCCACTTCTCACTATTTATGTTACGAGTCCCATATAATAGGGGGTGAGCTTATTGCCATATACTGGGCACAGCCTGACCCGGGAATCGAAACCGAGACCAACGAGGCAGGATAATAAAAAACAATAAAATGCTTCCTAGAGAAATCTTTTACGAATTTCCAATCCTTGTCGACGATAGATACACCTGTAGGTATTATTTCTAGAACTACCAAAACCGTTTCCAACGTGATTCCCACGTAAGTAGACTATACTCAGAGCGGGCCTGCGGACGGCGAGCATGGGTGGTTCCCCGTCCGACCAGATGCAGACCCGAGCGTACGGCGCGTCGCGTTCCGCGCGCGCCTCAAAGAGCGATCAGACCACCACAGAGAGCCCAACAGGGCCGATGCCGATTCGGATTCGCGGGGGACGTAACAGGTTACCGGGTCTCCGGTTCGACGTGCAGGAGAAGGAACGGGGTGGTTTTTAGTCAGTAAGAGTCTGACACTCTCTTCTGCCTCACCCAAGCGGGAGCATTCATTCGATGATTTTCTACCCTTAAAATACTCAGAAGCTACATCTATAACAAGACTATTTTGTTGCAGTTCACAAAACCAACGGTAATGGACACCTATATGACCTTCATCAACAACCTGAAGAAGGCCAAGGAAACTATCAAGACAGCAGCAGCATCACGACCAGCCTTCGCCAAGTTCCTGGATGCTATGGCGAGAGACCATAAGGGGAAGCTATCGTTGGACAATTTGCTCATAAAACCTGTGCAGAAGTTCCCATATTATAAGCTGTTGATACAGAGGCTGATTAAGCATACAGGTTTGTGGATGAAGTTGTTTTGTATATTATTAGTTTTAATTTGGAGAATAATGATGAAATACAGAGTATTAACTAAAAATTACGAGTTACTCACGTAAATATACTGAGAAAAGCCCTACTAGTTTTGAGCCACAGAGGGACTCTTCATTTTGAGTAGCGTGCGCGGTCGCCGCGATATCGCGCAGCCTACTGCTGTGGTTGGTGCCCGCGTTGGTGATAGTGACGCACGACACGTTTACCTATGCATTGGTAGTGGATTTGATTTTCGGGTTTGCACAAAGTCAGGCTGCGCCCCATCGCCACGACCGCGCACGCCGATCATGAGGAAAAGTTCTTCCGTGACTCGTAACTAATAGAACTTTTCTCAGTATATTAACGTGAGTAACTCAAAATGTTTAGTTAATTGAGCATGTATCACGATAGTTATTATAAAAATGAACATGAATTATAAGTTCATGCTATATTTTATAATTATGCTCTGTATCTTTGTGTTCAAAATGTAATATAGCAATGCCTTATACCAAATAGGCATAACATAACAGAGTACAGTAAACTCATCTTGAATTAAATCTTTTAAGTATTATGGAAGTTTTCAAAACCATAAACATTATCATAAATAAAATCTAAATTACGGATTTCAATGGCAAAATTTCTTCAATATTTGTTAAAAGAAGGCTTTTTCCGTAAGCTCTCTCCTTGAATAACAAAAGCCTTGACAGTATCAAGTAATTTGTTCCTCGTTATTGATGGCACTCCCCTGAAGACGCTTTGAAACAATGTTTTATACAAAAGGCAGGTGCAAAATTAATTTTCTCTAAGTACACGACTTAGTTATATTATGAAACTTGCTATAAATTCATTTTCATCTTTGTCAAAGTCCCTTTTAAATCTTCTATTTAAAGAATAGGGGTCTTTTTAGATTTCTCCGCATCATTTAATTTATAATGAAGTACACTTTGTTTGTTATAAACTAACATTGCACCTAACTTTTTTTTTTTTTTTTTTAAAAACGTTGCCCCACACTAGGATTTTCTCCTGTGTCGTGGGTGCGTTTACAAACATACAAGTTCACATACACATGACACATTATTTGTCTTTATATCATTTTTCTTACACTATATTTTTTTCTAGACCAGTCACATCCAGACCACAAACTTCTGCTAGAAGCTCAAAAAGAGATCCACGATCTGCTAGAACTGATAAATTGTACCGAGAGGGAGAGTCTAGAGTTGGAGCAGCAGCAGCAAACGCTACGGGAACTGGAGCAGATGATAGAAGGACTATCCAACTTGGTGTCCTTGGACCGAATGTTCCTAAGACATGAGACAGTGACCATGCCATCAGCTCAGGGGACGATAAAGGATAGAGCCTTGTTTCTCTTCAATGATACTCTGCTGATTACCAGTGTTAAGAGGAGGACGGGAACTATTAAGAAGCCTACACCGTAAGTTATAAATAGCTAGTAAAAGCTTAGCAAAATAGCCCTGCATCCAAAAATAAATCCATTTACTAAATTAACATTTTAGTGTAGAAATTATTTATCAACAAACATTAAATTGTCATCAATAAATTGGGATTCTATACGTACAAATATACAATAAATTGGTCTTATTAATGTTGGTATGATATAAATTGCGTTATGAATGTGAAACAAAGCAAGATTGAGTTATTTGTTTATGTTACAGAACATACCAAAGTAATATAGCAAGTCAGATGGAGGGCAACAAGTACAAACTCCTTATGAGGATATCGCTGGCCGATCTCGAGATTGTTAAAGGTAAAAAAAATAAATTATATTTTTAATTTGTTTTTAAAGAATCTGTACCTATGCTTAAGATACCTGCCTAAAAGACGTGATGGAAGAAATGATTATGATAAACTTTTGGCACTAACTTTTGTGGGATTTAAATAATATGGTTTCAGTAAAGAAATCATATTATAGTTTTTTGTAAAACTTATGAACAGTTTTCGAGGTTGGTTTTGGAGCAGAGACGGCAAAAATTATATTAAGCTGAGGTTTACGACGATTTTGAGGAGACTAATAAAGAATAATTGGAGCCTTTATCTAAAGCCAAATATGCTCAAAAACAATAACAGCTCATAAAACATAAAACCAAACAAGAACAAAAACCAAATAAAAATATATTCCAAAAACAAAAACAAAAATCGTACCACAAAGCCAATACAAAGAGACTATCAACGAATAAAACATGAAAGCAACATCTACAAAGGTTGTTGACAAAAATGTTTTATAGAAAATTGTTGAAGCAGCCATTGAAAGGTCAGTTTCCATTCTGGGAACGAATGAACGGAAAGCGAGGAAATTGTAGCGATTGCTTTGTAACTGCGGGAACTAGGTCAAATTGTAAGTGGTGAAATATTGATTTGATATCAATAATAAAGTTTCAAAGGCACTGAATGAGGCAAAGTATCGTATATAAAGTTTTAACTTGTGGGTTAGTTTGGAAGTTGTGTACTGCAATCAAGGGTTAAGAGGATGTAACGTCGATTCATTGTTCACGAAACTTTAGCTTAACTTTATGATAAGTGCGTTAGTTACCGTATATATTACTTCTTTTTGAAAAATACGACCTTTTTGAAAAGAATGTATAACGTGCATTCGTGTCAAAAAAAAATACAACTTTACTATGCTGTGCAAATTCCATTGTATTAAAATTTGGAGAAATAATTCGATTTACTAAAGCTTTTATTACAACACTGGTACTGAAACTCTTAATGCTATAAAACCCTATAATAATGCCGGATGTCCTGTTTTAATTTGATTATCGGCCACGGTATGAATACGTCTGAAAATAGCGAGATTTTAGAGCGAGAAAATTATACTACTATCAATCAAAACTGATATAAGAAAAAACTACGTAATGGCTGTGGCACAAGGCGATTTATTGTATACTTAAAAACCGTAGTAAAACAGGATCTTGATCACATAGACTGCTAAAACTTGCAACCGCTGATTACTTTCTCTGCATCACCCAAGGGTCAGACTGGTAGAAAATGCCTGCGGCATTAAGTCCACCCATGTGCTTGCATAAAGCTTTTTAAATAAATAAATAAAACTCAAGACAAACGATACTTGGTCGTGAAGTTTCGATCAAAAAAGGTGCAGATCCCTGTTTCTAGTAAAAGTAATTAATATCTACCTGTTACCCGTAACATCGATACAACAAACCGATACATATCTCTAAATATACAAGATTGATTTCACATCAATCATATACCAAAAAGTTAACCAAAACTATTAACTAACAAATCAATCAATTTCTTTCCAACAGCTAAAGACGAAAATCTAAGGCGGATTATGCATGAGGTGGAAACACTGACGGAGGACGTGAACACACTGACTCAGATATCGGAGAGTGTGGCGGCGTTGCACACACAGCATTTGCAACTGGAGGAGATAGTCAGGGAGATGCTGCATTCGCTGAACAGGCAGCTATCTGAACGACAGAATAGTGATACACAGCTGTGTTATATGGAGATCAGTTTGAACACTTCGTGAGTATACAATGATAACTTATATAAAAATTTCTGCTTATTGTAGTTTTGAAGATATAATTTGTCTTTAGTTTTGTCACAACGAATGAAGATATACGTGAAGATAATGAATAAAGTAACTATTTTTTTTTTGATGTTTAAGCCTAATAAGACAGACGGTTCCCTAAAAATTGTAGATTTAATCATTAAAATCACAGACATGACACATTTCCTGTTAATTTCTAGAAATGGTCCCGAGAACATCACAATAATTTATCCTAAAGCAGAGAAAAGGAGCAGCTGGGAGGAATTGATAAATGAGACTAAACAGAAATTATGTAAGTTTGTACACAATCATTTTTTAGTCAGTTCCGACTCACCATTGATCAGCTTAACCGTTGTTCTTTAAATAACTTCTTATTACTCTGAAACCTGTTCAGGCTACACAACATGGGGTTGACTTTTCTATTTATTATTTCAACTGGCGTTTAGACACCATTATAGAATGATGATTTCTAATTGAAAGTAATATTTTCATTTTGGACATTAAAATATTCATGTTTCCAGGTGTGTACGGTCAAGAGCGTCCAGCCCCAGAGTTTCTGTCACCTGTTCCCATCCGTAAGACTCGTGCTGGTCTGCAGTTCACTTGCGCCGCTCCTACTCTGCCACCCAAGGGACAGTCTCCTGATGTCTGGGTATGAATGATCATCACTATCTTGCTCTCTATTATTTTAACATGACTATCTGTAAATTAGTCTATAAGTCAATAGGGGAGGTATATTATGTTCAGCAGGAGGCAGCTGGACAGCTTTTATAGCTGATACGATGATCACAATAATGATATTATGTTGTTAATTATCGCTTTGTATTGTTATGAAGTTCGGCCAAAGAAACTGGTCTCTATGACTCAAGGAATCATAGTATATGCGCCAACGATCAATATACATACGTACGCGTTATGCACGTATTAATATTTAGTATAGTGTTCTGTCGAAATAGTTATTGTTTAATGAATTGAATTTTTATTGAACAACTAAACTCAAAATTTCCCATTATTTAATACGATTATGTACCATTAGTAATAACAAGATCATTGTAATATTTTCCAGGTTTGCAACAGTGATGGCTACGTCGGTCAGGTGTGCGTGCTGACTCTGTCACCCAAGCCGCAGGTGACGTCATGCAATGGCGTCTGTAACGCACGGATCCTCTGCGTCGCGTGCGTTCCACCTGCACCTGCACTCACTCGCCAGCAGACTGTCGATATACCGTAAGTTTGAAATCTAAAAAAATAATCTTTGTTGATTCAGTGATTCTCGTATAAAATATTCTTTACCTAATTAAGTTTTTATACCTAAAATTATAGCAGCAGCGTTTGAAACAATAATTTTGTAACTGACATGACATTAATTGTGTCTACTGCTACGTTTCAGAAGTACGAGCTCGCTGAACAGCACCAGTTCAGTAAAGCCTGGTATCAGCATATCTGATCCTGATGACAGCTGCAAGAATATTCGGCTGGATAGGTAAGCGAAACAAAGTTTTACAAATAACCTTTAAAAAAAGTCTTGTTTAACTGCCTATAATTTAATGTGTACTATCAAGTCAAAGAATTCGAAATTGAAATCCATAATACTGGGATCCTATCCATAATCCTATTACCTACTTTTTACTATACTACAAAAAATCCATTTCATCCCAAAAACCATTAAAAGTCAAACTGACTTTAGTTTCTAATAGTTTCTCATTTAATAAACCCTTGACGACAAATGGACGCTTCACACGGTAGGAAATCGTCAGCTTAATAGCGTGTCAGTCGCACGCCAAATATTTGTGTGCCCTACAAATATTTGTTGCAAGTCCGTATGTTTGTCCACCACCGCGATTTGTTTGGACAAGGGCATCCGTGTCGCGATATTTGGGACTATTCGGCCATAGAAGCGTTTGTTTGTCCTTGATACGATATAGATTAGATTGTATACTCTGTAGGTTATTGACTTTGTAGATATGATAGTCTGCTTGCATAGGTCAAACACGCTGGTGATTTTGATGCTTGAATAAATAGTTCAGTCGATTGATTGATATTAATTTTGATTGTATTGAATAACAACGCCAAAAATAGTATTAGAGAGACGTTACAATTCAATCTGCGTTAAAGATTATGTTCAAAAATACTCACACTTTAACAAAAACAGCTAAATACGGAACAGAAGACAAAGAAAAGAAAGACAATATAATTGTTAATATGACCCTTCTTTCATTCTTCACAGTTCATCCTCCAGCGATGAAGAAGACGATGGCTCTTCAACCAGTGAGAACCAGGACGCTCAATCAGAACGGAGCCAGGAGTCAGCCACTATCCGCTTGCACAGCAGCCTGACGGCCAGCTTGGGTAATCATCGCACCACGCTGACTCCAAACCACAGCAAGAGTCTGAGCACTCCTCATACTGGACAGAGCATCCAAGTCCACCCTGTCATGAAGTCCAGCTCCAACCCAGCTGTAGACAAGCAAGCTATGGGGATTAATTCTGGTAAGCAATTTTGGACTCTATTTTCCATTATATCTATCTGTTTAGAATCTAAATCTCCTTGTGAATCAATGTCTCTCTTTGATTATCTATATCTGATTTAATGTTATTATAGTCTATCTTATCGTTTAGTAGACTAAAGATCTTTTATAGCTGTGTTCTTGATCACCATTATTGTTCTAGAGTTCACACTCTGTTAATCGTAGATTTGAGGATTTCTCTTCAGTGTGGTTTATTTCTCAAATGGTATAATAGTTTCTACTTGTTTCTTGATCTCTAATCTCTCTGTTATCACAAATATTAACTGTTGGTAGTTTTCTGTATACACAATCTATGTATCAATGTTTTACTTTAAGTTATTTAAATTCAATGTTTCCTATTCCAATGCTACTTAGTAACTGGACGTGCCATGTTGGGTAATACTGAAAATCGTTGTATTTATTTCTGCATGGTGTCAAGTGCTTTTTACTTACGCTTTAACTGTCGCTTACTAAAATATCCCGTAATTTAACTTCAATAAGCTTACAATATTATAATTGAATTGCTTTATAAACAAAAATCAGGGACCAGATAAGCAAGATATGCTAAAATTTGAAAACATTTATAAAATCACGCATAATATTGAACACTACACACAAAACGAACTCACTTCTTCCAATACAGCTTGCATTAAACAAAATAGCTTACCCAAAAGACTATAACAATAAACCCACCGTACAGAAAGCACGCTTAACACAAAATATCAATGTGTTGGTAGATGGTGCAATTTTTTAAACTGACGGTATCAAAATTCCAGGTACACTGTCATCTCCAGCAAGTCGTCAGTCTTCAGAGGATAGTGGCACTACTGCCAACCAGCCTACCATGTGGCTAGGAACTGAGGATGGTTGTATACATGTGTACAACTGCCTGGACAACATTAGGATAAAGAAGAATAAAGTGAAGCTGCAGCACAATTCGGGGGTGCATTCCATTGTGTAAGTAAATGGAAACAGGTTTTAGTAAATGGGAATAGTCATCCATCAGATTTTCATTTTAAATTCACTTCCAACTGGCTAATCTGAATGTCATTAAGGGAGGCCTGTATTTAACAGTGGCCATAAACGATAATGATATTTCAATAGGCTCACCCCCTATTACATGGGTCGCCTCACATTAATATTGAAAAGTGAGTGTTACATTGTACAATGGCATTAGATGCCGTAATCTCCACCTCTGTCTACCTCTTGAGGTATAAAAGGCGTGATGTTATGTGATATTTCATAATAAATATTCCAAATAACTAAAAAGTATCTACTGCTTTCGTCTGTGTATTGTTGGAAACAGCATGTTAAAATCCACAGTGTTACTACATTACATTACTCCGCTCGAGGAAATGAGCCTTATTTAACAATGTAGGTCATTTAGCAGATGATGTATGTAGTTACGAATCATAAACAAATAAGTTTGAAAATTGATCACTGGAATAATTGGTGTGTTTGTTGTTTCAGTTACGTGGAGGGAAAAGTATTTGTTGCACTTGGCAACGGCGATCTAGTCGTATACTGCCGGGATATTGGTGAGTACTCAAAAATATACCAATACAATAAGAAAGGCTGCCAAAAATCACAAACTTTTACTAATAAAATAATCCATTATTTTCGGGTTTCCTTTCTCATCCGCTATTCAACGGTTCTCATCATTGATTTTACCTCCCAATAAAAGAAAACTATCAAAGATTTTCACATAAATTGACTACGAAATCTTTTAGTTTCCAAAAAGTTCTGACGCAAAAGTTATTCAATTTTATCATCTGAACGCTGGTGCTGGTGCCGCTGACTAGCAAGATGTTGTACTACATCTTTAACATCTTATACGCTTAAATAATTTCACGTTCGTTTATGATGATATTGATGATTCTGATGATGTCACCAGATGGTTCGTGGACGGAGCGGTCAACGATCCCGGTGGGCACGGGCAGCAGCCCGGTGAGCAGCATGCTGCTGTCCAGCGGCAAGCTGTGGTGCGCCACGCACGCCTCCATCAAGATCATCAACCCGCATACACTGCAGGTAACTAAAATCACTTACCAATCTTTGTGTAATCAAAATATATTCCCTGTTACTTTGCTTATAGATTTTAGTTTCGTTTGTCTTAAGTTCCGTCTAATCGTTTTCTGTTAAGCTTTCGCTTCCCTTAGAAATCTATTGAAGGCAAATTCTCAATACTCAATACTTTATTGCTTTTCACATGTATTACTTAGGTGGTAAACATAATTAGGACACAATGTGAACCCTGTCGGGCACAACAACATAAGTTTTGGAGAGAGCACACTTGACATGTCATTCGGAGAATTTAAAAAAATATAATTAACATACAATAGAATTAATATCAAATGGAATATAAGATAAAGGTATAATTGTAATTGTAGTATTTAGGATTCAAGTTATTCTTTAAATCTCAAACAATCAAAATTAAATAATAATTAAATTCTCCGCTTACACTTCGATCATCGGTGACTTTCACAGTCATAACGTCTTATTTGGTGGAATTTCTATTCGTTGCACAAGTCATCTAATTATAATATGTTCCTCTCAAACAGTGACATTTTGATAATCTTTGAAATTCGTAGTCACTATTCTACATCGAATCACACATTGAGTATCTTTGTGTTCCAGGTGGACGAAACATTCCAAATAAGTTCAGAGACGAAGCCGATCAGCCACATGGCGGTGGCAGGTGGTACAATATGGCTGTCTCTGCACAATGCTGCCCAGCTCCGCTGCTACAACTCCAGCAGTCGTGAGCAATTGGCCGAGATCAATATCACGCCGCAAGTTACTAAGATGTTGCATGGTAAGCAGTACACCATTATTTTAATCTTGTTGTATTTAACGCTTCAAACTGACTCAAATCTTCACCTTATATTTTGTCTAGTTTACTCTGAAGTATGATTGATGTTAGATAGAAATTATCAACATATAAGTGACAAAATAATCAGGATGTGCTTCTAATCATAGTTAATGTAAAACCAAGAGAAAAGGAACTAGAAAATAGTATGAAATTAGTCTATTGAAATCTGTCCTAAGATATATTTTCTCATCTTGTAATTTCATTCTCAGGTTGCGACGATATAATTCGTCAGCACAAAGCGGCGTGTCTTCGCGTGACAGCCCTACTGGCTCACCGTGATACACTTTGGGTGGGCACCAGTGCTGGCGTGCTCCTCACGGCACCGCTACACAACTCACCCAACCCTAGGACTGGAGCTTTCACTGTTCCTCATCTGACTGGTAAGGACCATTAAAAAGAACCGAATAAAGATATCTAAAATTTTAAAAACACAAAATCTCGTATTACTACTCTACAAGGTTCTAAATTGTATCTAGTTTAACACTTTGCAGTTCGTGGACAAACTAGAAAATTATTTAGTTACAATATGTGGTAGCATAGTTAAGATCTGTAATAAAAATCTATCTCTTTCAGGTATTACCTATGGACATACTGGCCACGTGAGGTTCCTAACGATCGTAGAGAACCCCGCCGCTCAAAAGCAGCCAGCGAAACAGACACAGACGTCATTGAAGACAAAGGCAATAAGTCGCAGGTCGACAAACGCCGAGAAACTACAGAAACAAACTGAGCCAGCTCAGAATAACAAGGAAACCCTCATCATATCTGGTGGAGACGGATACGAAGACTTCAGGAGTTCCACCATGACAGAAGACGCAGGCAGAGAAGATTCGACCAATCATCTCCTTCTGTGGAGGGTCTGAACGAATTTTGCGGCCTACAGGGTTCTAGAACTTTCCGGCGCACACTGCGCCACGGATTTTGAGAATTGACGTTTTGAATATTCTTCGTACATTTCACACGTCAGTGGAAGCCTAAAGGTTTTATTTTTTAAATGTTTTCGTCAATGAATGTTAGTGTTATTCCAGCTTTCATTTGGAAACGTTGATGTATGTTAAAAAGTATAATAAATCTTTTTGTGTTTTGCGCTTGTGAGCGTGATATGAGATTATTAACGTTAGGACATGAAATGTCGAATTTTATCAATTTGTCCCAAATGTATCAAAATTAATTTAAACGTGCAGTATTATTAAATAAATTGGACCATCTGTATAATGGCCTGTTGCGTACCTTAAAGACGTTTCTATCAGTGTTTTAGAACTATTTACATGTATCCTACCCATATCAAGGCATAGTATGTGTCTTTATAATAATATTATCGTTGTCTGAGTAGTAGTGAACAGTTACAACTGTTGTAGGCTATTGAAATAATGATAAATTTGTGTACCTAAGGGTTTTAGGTCTTCTAAATTGTTCATTACTTTCATCGTCATAGCTTTCAGATTTTTCGTTACTCGTGCTTACTAGCTCAATTTGATTTTCACTAGACTTTAATCTACTAGAGATCTTGGCTTGATATAATAATATACATACTCATGTGCAACAAGATTTTCGATGTTGATGTCTAAAATATTAATTAAAATCTAGACTGATCTCTTCGTCTATTTAGGTGTAATCTTTAGATCTATCTTTTAGATTGAATCTTTCTAATTCATGTTTCACAGTTTCTTCTAGAAAGTTGAGAAAGTAATCAAGGGTAACATCAGGAATGTGTTTCGGAAACCAAAATCAGTCTGTAATTTATATTTTCTCGTTTAGCGTAGTAGTAGGTATACATACAACTGTTATATTCCGAATGTACCTTGCCACGTCATCAAAATCTGGTCGAAAAAATTATAATTTCATGATTGCTCAAAAAAGTTTTGAAATGTTACCTGATTTGACATATGCGAGCAACAAATTTTTAAAATAGGATGTTTGGATGATGTATCCTATATTTATAATATTGCAGAATAATAAAAAAGTCGCACTAACATGCCTGTGTTTTATTTAACTAAGATTTGTAACTACTGAGAATTTATTAGCGTCATTAAAAATATCAAGGCTCATCATGAAATAAATGTTGAATAAAAGCTGTTCCAAATGTTATTCAGAACAGAAATATAATTTAAAAAGGTTATAATTTATAACAGATCTTTTGAAGTTTTTATTTATTTTAAGGAAATGTTTGGAAGAAAAAGGCAAATGAATTAAGACGTGATAAACAATCTATATTTTATTTGATCAGGTCACAGACATGTTTTAATAATTGGGCTACTAATAATAATAATTTATTAAGTACTTATAGACTAAAGATACACCAAGTTCCATAAATATATCTTTGACGATATGAAATGACAAATTATATTGCTAATTTTAGTTACATTTATCAGCTACATTACTAATGAAATCTTGGAGATTATCTTTGTCACCGGATATTTGATTTTTCTTGCCCCTACTTACGAAATACGGATCCATTTGTAATTGAGCTGCCAGTTTCTTCAATATAGTACGCCTATCTCGATCATTATCGTCAATTTCCCTTTTAACTTTGCCCTTATCGTTTTTAATCATTATCAAGTCAATCGCTGCGCAAATTAGTTCTTTGGCTTTTGTATATTCCTCTTTGTGGAGTGTAGTTCCATTTTTAGCGAGATTAATATCTTTCTTGCCTCTAGCAATGTAATATGGGTCGTTACGAACAGATTTCACAATTTCTTCAATAGCACCGCGCCTGTCTCTTGCAGCTTGCTCCAAATTATAATTAATATAATATTTTTTACCTCTTGATATGTAGTAAGGGTCATCAGCTTCGGCTGAAGAACGTCCAGTCCTTTCAACTAAAATATAATTTGGCTCATCAACATACATTCGATTGTCTAACACTGTACCTGGTTCCGTAGTTTGGCCATGCAGTCTAGCAGCTTTAGGTATATTAGCTCTATTTTTGTGAGGTCCACTAAACAACATTGAAAGCTTATTTTCTCTTCCCCTACCTGTCCAAAATGAATTCGGATCAGCGTTACTCTTCTTGAGTCGCGAGAGATTTTCTATATCCTCTTCTACGTCATTAATTGCATTCAAGATTGATTCTTTTAGATCTTGTTTGCGAACCCAATTTGGTTCCGAAGTCTTCCGCCTTCCACGGTTACCCCAAAATGGCTCCTCATCTCTTCTGCCTCGATTTCCCCAAAAAGGGTCGTCTGTTTCTCTCCTGCCTCTGTTGCCCCAAAATGGATCGTCTGTCTCTCTTCTACCTCGATTTCCCCAAAATGGTTCATCGATCTCTCTCCTACCACGGTTTCCCCAAAAAGGTTCAATTTCATCACGTCTACCACGATTTCCCCAAAATGGTTCTTCTTCACGTCTTCCCCTATTTCCCCAAAATGGTTCATTCTCTGTCCTCCTACCTCTGTTACCCCAAAATGGCTCTTGGTCTTGCCGTCTGCCTCTGCTGCCCCAAAATAGATCTTCTTCAGATCCTTCAGATTCTAAAGAATTACGGCGACCACGACTTCCCCAGAATGGAGATACGAAATCTTCCCTCCTGTCTTTTGTGTTTCCGTAGTAATCGTTTGGCTTTTGAGCAAACTCTGTGCAATGTTCGCAGTGTTTGACAAAGTAATCAGGAAAGTCGACAGTGTAGCCGTATAAATTCTCCATTGAGCTGTCTCGACGTCCTCTATTTCCCCAAAAAGGTTCTTCCTTCATAACTTGGTCATTAGATTTAGCAAACTTTTGATTACCTGCAAAATCGTTATCATATTTATTGTTATAGTTAGGGTCATTACCTATAAGTTTTTTCCCTCTATTAGGCCAAAATGGTCTGTCATCGTCATCGTTCAGAGATCTCTTAACACGTTCATTCTCTGACTTGTCTTTCAAAGAATTTTGTTTCTTGTTGTGGTTTTTATAAGTTTTAGTTTTGTTTGCTTTGCCAAGGACGACGTCGGTAGTTATTATCAGGATGAACAGGAGAAACGTTTGTACTTTTCTGCGCATTTTGTTAAATTCTGTGGACAAAGAATTAATAAATGTCTAAGAAAATACCTTATTCACTTGTGGAAGGTGAGGTTTAAAGTAAGTATTACTGTGAGTTGTACACATGTGTAAGAAGTAGATTATCAATAACTCATAGTGACCTACAAGAAGAAAACACAAATACGGTCTATATTTTAATGAGACCTGTGTTCCAAATTATAAAACATGACTAAACAAGAGGATAAATGGAAAAGGACAAAAATTCTGTACTTACGGCAATATTTAAAAACCTACTATTCTAATATTACGTTAAACTCCAGTTTTAATGTGTTACTATGGGAAATGGAACACTTGAGAATCAATTATAAACACATTTAATACGATTCTACCCCGAATAAAAGGATAACAAGACACCAACTTATCATTAAAACTTTGAAAAAAAACATAAAATATAAAAAGAACTTTAAAGAAATTACGAAATGTCTAATTCCACTACATTTCTGGGTCTTTCATGAAGAATTTTTAACAATAAATGTTGAATACTTACATGAATTTTCCGGTTAATCCTAAGACCATGTTTCCACAGCCCAACTATGAAGGACCGTAGTGACTTCAGGGTTGCTACCTCGTTTCTGAAGCTTCCAAGCTTTGGTCTGCTTTTATAAAGGAAAGGCGAGTAGGCGAGGTCTCCAGGGGTGTCACAAGTAATTTTTTCGTTTGTCCCCTTCAATTCTAAAGGGAGTGTGTGACGGTTATTAAATTAAAACAATGCTAGTTGCGTATTGCTCTGGACTTCTGTTAAGAGGTCAGATTTAAGGGGAGGTTTCTTGTTTAGTGTTTTTTATATATTTCTAGTACAGGAATCGTAGATGATCACAAGCTAAGTGATTTTCTTAGAGGGGAAATTTTGACGCTTTCTGAGTTAAGGACAAATAACTATCTACCAAAAATCGCCTATTTTTGGATCCAGCTTTTGAAGCATTATGTAAAAATCCGTTCATTCTATAAAAAGTATTTGGTTTTCTATCAATAACTTTAATCGCTTACCATCAGGTGATCCGCCTGCTCGTTTAGCTCTTATTCCATAAAAAAATGTAATGGACTAGCAACTCTTACTTCAATATTAATTTTAATAGATACTATTAAAGCCTTTTTTTAACAACCCATGAGTATAGTCAACCCTAAGTCATTTTCCAACATATTCTCAATAGCAAATCCTGTACAGAAAATATTCAATGAATAGATAATTTTGAATTACTATAGGGATATTCAATATCTTTTTGTTTTTCATATATTTATTGACCTTGACACTTTCAGTATAAAATAATATGCGATGACTTATTATGCATGATATTTGGACCTTCAGATTTGTGTACAAAGTCAAGTTCATGCATAATTTTCATGGTCAAAGGCACTGCTGAAATCAAAGCAAACTATCTATTGGATAAACAAATTGGATGTGATATTATTAGATGCTAATATTCTGTAGGTAATTTGTCATATCAATTTCATTCATCACACCTATTTATCCTCGAAGGGGTAGGCAGAGGTGCTCATTACGGCACTTAATACCACTATACAAATAACACCCACTTTTCACTATTTATGTTATGAGTCTCGTGTAATAGGAGTGAGCCTATTGCCATATACTGGGCACAATTCTAGACTCAGTGCTACTACTGAGAATTTTTTAAAAACTCAGCTAAAATACTTTGCCCGACAATTACACTTCCGACTATTCGGCCAACGAGTCAATCACGAATTAATATGACAAATGTCATTCAATTCTCTGAAAAAGAAGATAACAATTTTCTAACATCCCATTCTCAAGTGCAGTATGTTTTACTCTCTACAAAATAATTAAAAAAGATTTATTACGACAGCGAAGGCTTCCTCTTAAAAATACCCTTCCTTTACCCTCAGTGGTCAGAACATGTTTGTCTTGCTGCCTTGATTACATCGCCTGAGAGCAGCTGCTCGAGGAGAGATGGGAAATATAGGATACATAAAGAGGTACCAGTTTTAGAAACAAAACTTCAGTTGGTTTATAGTGAAATTCATTTTAGATACTGCTGATTCCAAGGCCTATTCAATATTTTTTTATATAACAATGAACTGATTTATTAATAAAAAAAATCATAATACAGAGAAAATTAATGATTCTTATAAATCTTGTATAGATGTCTAATATAAGATTCAACAAGCATTAATAGTTGTCAATTTTAAATGGTATAGTTTTAATTCCATTATTATGTATTAATGGAGTTTGTCTTAGAGCACTAATGTAGCACTTTTTTTCTTTTTATTGATATTATTATTTTTAAGTTAACGAATTTAAGGGTTTCCTGATTTGTATCAATAGGACTGACATGTTGTCAGATAAAAGTGCTGTAAATAATTAAAGAAAAGAAATAGTTGTGGATGAACATAGTAATGATACAGTAAAAAATAATAATTGAGGAAACCTTTATCAATCCAAATATTACAAAAAACCCTTAATACTTCTATGGAATATAAATAATATTGCATTAGTTTAATAATTACTAGCGACACGGCCCGGCTTCGCACGGGTGCAATATGCATGTATTGCATATTGCACCCGCATCAAAATCCGTTGCGTAGTTTTAAAGATCTAAGCATACATAGGGAGAGACAGACATAGGATAGCGACTTTGTTTTATACTATGTACTACCGCCTATAACGGTAAAATAAAATAAGATAACTACATCTTCCGCTTCTCCCCGATCTCCTCTGGAGAATTCTTCTGGTCCACAATAATAAGATTGCATGTACGTATTTCTTGGTCTAGTAAACATTGTTTAAAGCAGAATGATATAAAATGTTGAACACGTGTACGAAGACACTATTCCGTATCTATTTTTTGAGTAAGCAACACAGTGCAAAGCAAATACAGCTTAATTTCTCGTGTATTTATCAAAATTAATTCCTAATTTTCACAAGCTTTATTGTTAATTTTTTTTTAAATGTCGATATTAAGTATTTTTAAATTGACATGCTAT